ACGGGTTTAGGTTTAGGGTTTAGGGTTAGGTTTAGGTTAGGTTAGGTTAGGTAGGTTAGGTAGGTAGGTGTAGTAGGTAGTAGAGGAGTAGAGAGTAGAGAGAGAGAGAGAGAGAGAGAGAGAGAGAGAGAGAGAACAGTTCTGCATTGTGGAGTTGATTGCTTTTTGGTTTTAAAAATCCACTAGAAAGAGAGAACTTACAAAGATAACAGAGAGAAACACAGATGGGAAAATGCCGTGGCAAGACGGAATCAAAGTTCTAGCATACAAACTTGTGGAAAGAGGGATCAGAGTATTGGTGAATGACTTGATAGTTGAAAGAGACAAAGACCCAAAAATATTAGTGAAGGGGAAGATAACAAAAAATAAAATCGGGTTTTTACTTTTATTTTTTCTCTTGTTTTGTCTTGCCTCTCCTCTAAATAGTGTTTCTATTTTATTCTTTTTCCTTGCAGTTTTCTCTAGTTGAGCACTAGATGGGATTTGAGGAGGATGGGTACATGCCTAAATACATAATAAACAAGGGAAGTGACCAAATTTTATACTTGTACAGAGCCTAAAATTCATTTTCCCATGAAACTGCTACAACCCATTTCTCGATGGCAACAAACACAGAAAAGGATCTTCAACATCTCACCCACACATCACTTATAACATCTTGAATTACATTTGATCGACTTCCTACAAATATGTCGATCGGGTATAAATGGGATTACAAAATCAAATCTAAGAGACAATTCTCATATATAAAAGCCCTTTCTGTCCTAAAAGGTGTCTTAAAAGTGTCCATTGATATGGGCATCTGCTCAAGTGACACATAACCTCCTAATCAGCACTTAGCCTTTTACTAAGGCATCAATGGCCCATCTAATGGCCTCATACATTCCTAAATATCGAGACAAGTGAAGTAATTAAAATGGAAGCTCTTGCAAGTCATCCTGTCACAAGTCCATTAATTTGTGTTTGAAAGACTCTTCACACTCTAAAATAAGTTCAATCTCAGTTTGAGATTTGAATAATGTGAGACTCTTAACATTCTCAAACTTTCAACAAAGTAGCCCTATCCATCATTCAGATCACCTAGAAACCAAGATTCCCATAATCCATATTGATCGCACCTTAAATTCTGGAGATGGTTTATGAGATTTTACCACCAGAGCAACTCCATGAGGAGTTCATAACAAAACCTACACACTTGCATATGGGACTCACTCTCCAAAGCAATTTATTTTGCACGTTAGATGTTATTACTCCAGAAAATAGTGTTCTATGGTAAATTATAAATGCATCAGTGGAGTTTTTTTATGGTAAATTACAAATGCATCAGTGGAGTTTATTCGGGGAACAGATCCTAGAAGTCTATAGTTCTATCCAAATTGTATTTACCCCAAATTAAAGTTCAAAAAAAAAAAAACTACTAATGGAATAAAACCAGTGAGTCTGCATTCCCATGCTCCATCTATTAAGAACCCCCACCCATATTTTCAAAATGTAGCATCTCGTATCCATCATTGTGCCAAGTTAGAGCTAAATAGACTCCAGAAGTGATCCCATATTGCCCTAGGTAACTCAAAATGTTATAACGGCAATCCATGTTCATGTTCCAAAGGTCAAAAGTTTTTGATTAGGCAACAGAAAGCCCCTCTTTGTAAGGTTCAACTCCATGAGAATCCCCCTATCATTACTAACCATTAGGATGAAACAACCTTATATGACTTGAATATCTAACAGTGAATTGTACAAGAGTACATGAAATTAGACACCTTTGACTCTAGTGTTAGACATTTAGCACACCTAGAAAGGAGCTCGCCCAACCCACATTATGAACTTACAGATGCACTTATTCCTTGTCACTCACCAGATTTTGCACATGTTGCCCATGTTGTTAGTCAATTTTTGAGAAACTCCACAAACCACAAATGTCTAATGCAAAATCATATTCCTCAGTATATGTAAACCAATTCCCAATCCAGATGCTCTCCTCTTATTGCAGTCCCATTTAATCTTAATCTTCAAGCTCAGGTAGATTACTGGTTTGTTGCTATCACGATTGTCACTCTAACACAAGATCTTGCGTCTCCCATGGTGACTTTGACTCACGAAAAGATATAAAATCTTGTAACACAATGATGAGCAATTTGTTCTAGTTATTTAATTCATATTGTGTGTGTGATTTACCATTCACATACATGCAATTAACTGCACATGTAAGAATACTCTTCGACATTTGGTTTACCTTAAACACACAAATGAATTTTAGGATTGTTAACCAAACAGTCTACTCACATACTAATGAAAACTATTTTCCCATTAGACAAGTTATACAATTTTTAGTATCAAACACTATCAACAGATTTTCGTGTTTTATAACAAGCCACGTTACTATGTTAAACGACATTTCCGATTGAACTTGATGACAAGTCAATGTGTGTGTGCAGCGATATAGTGTGATATAGCATATTGTTATTTCCAAGCTAAGCAAATCAATATTAAATTCAGTTACATGCATACATGATATTTTATGTTTATCAAGAAAGTAAATTAAATGTTCTGACCTTATGATAGTGTATGGAACACCTGAGTCTGCCAAATATTGCTCAGACTTCCGCTTCCAGACCTGCAAATAGAAAGAACCATTGCTGTCATAAAAAATTTGACTCCTTCACGGAACAGAATTGAATGAATTTCATTCTGTAGGTATAAGTCTACGTAAATTCATGCATATATCCATGTATATGTAGGTAGCAATATATAGTACAGGAATACATACATTAAAAGAATCCATATGTGCAGACAATCAGACATACATATATACATGTATGTACAAGGTATATAAGTGTACATGATGTACAAAAACATAATTGACATAACATGTTCCATGATACAATCACATGGATTTAGGGGACTAAAGTTTGATCTAGATTCCATCTCAAAAGTTACGTGAACCACTCTGAAAGTTCACTACAATATGGTCTACAATATAACAGACATGTTTACAGCTAAAAAGCATCCATGCACCCTTAACTCTCCACAATAAATACATTATCAAGAAAACTTTAGAAGAAAAAGGGAGAGAGAGGGAGAGAGAGAGAGACATAGAGCGAGAGTGAGAGAGAGAGAGGAAAAAGCTCTACACATTGTTTGGCCTCGAGTTAGACTCATAAACAGGTACATATACATACAGCGTCTGCTTAATTTCACTAGACAAGTCACACTAAAGCCATGTTCACTGCGACAAGTAGCACCATACTTGAGATTCTTAGCATCGACAACACAAGCCAGAAAACTAAATCACATCAATTGTTTAAAAAAAATTAGTTTTTAGAGTATAGACTTGTTTATTCATATATGCCAAGTAAACAACGAGTTTAAGAGAGAAATTGCAAATGGACATGAACAAGAAAGCAGACCATCAGAAACTACGATCAAATCCTTAATGTTATTCACCAGCCTATATAACGACCACACACATGTTGTGTGTATTTAGAAGAGTCTACAAACCAACGCAATAGACATGCATGTCAATACATAAGACACATACACACACAGGAAATCCATGTGTGCCTGGAATTTTCATTTTTTGTTCAATTCATATGCACGGCATGTCTGCTATGTAACACAAGCATACCCGTATTTCATGACACATTCCCATTTTGTAAGACATGCATGTCTGCAGTATTGGACGTATATGTCTAGGATTTGGACATGCATGTCTTTAAATTGGACCCACATGTCCTATTTTAAACTTAATTTTAATAAAGTAACGAACTAATATTATATGTAAATATAGATAGACACACATTATGTGATAGATGACACAAATTTTAAAGGTATTTCCATAACAACTGTAACAAAGTATTAGTCGTGAGAGGAGACTACAGGTTTTATCCCCTCCGAAGGTCCAGTCCTCTTTGCAGAAGACGACCACGAAGAAGCCTTTCTCCACAGAGACGCCATTACCAACAGTGGGACTCAAGCGTTCACTACCTAGTCATCAGAGTAAATTTTACAGAGATTCCAGGTTCACATTCGGGGCTTCAACAGCTCCATCTGCTCTGTATAATGGAACTTCTCATCAACAGAACTCAAGCTTCTACAGAGATTCAAGGTTCTCCAACGGGCCGACCAAAGCTCCATCTCCTCAGTTCCACAGAGACCACTACCAAAGTTGGCAACCTTCAATTTGGCAACCACCTACCCAGCTTAGATATCCCTCTGCAAAAGAGAATACCAAGAATCTTTTCCCCCAACCTCAACAGGCCTCCAAAACCTTAGACTACATCAACCACCCTGAATTAGTAGTAGCCCTAATAGTAAACCTGCCCCTCTTTTAGACCCTTCAACCAGAAACCAGAGAACCCAGCAAAATCATCCTCGGAGATCTAGAATAAATCACCCCTGTTCATTTCCCCAACCTATTTTACCGTCAGCCTCAGATCACCATCAAAATGAGCTCTTCCAACCCATTTTGCAGGGTTTGCAGGGAACTCTACCTTTTACAACCACAGGGACCCCTCTACCTCCTTGTACCCAAGATGCAACCCCAGAAGCAATAGCTAGAGGCCATCAGGTTCTCTATAACCCCAAAACCTTTGCTCAGGCAGTAGAATCTCGTCCAGAAGTTGCTACCCTCCAAAGTCCACCAGCATCAATCTCACCAATCCAAACCCAGAATACCAAGTTACTGTCCTCAACTCTGAGTCTCCTGTTTGGCTCTCTCCTAACTCTGAAATCAGAGATCGCCTCACAGCTCTACAAAATTCTTTTATAGGGTCTTTCCAACCCCAGCGCAACAACATCAAAGGAATCACAGCCTGGCTGAAGACTATTTTCCACAATCCCCATGTCGTCTGTAGGAAACCGGTTAGTGGTAAGTACCTCATCACATTCCCAGAAAAGTTTACTCCAGTCATTCCCTCCTTTCCCAATCTCAACTTCAAAGGTGTGAAATTGTCCTTACAAAAATGGAATTTGCAACTAGGGACCCAAAAAAAAGTAAGTTCTGGGTTATGCTTGAAGGTATCCCTCTCCACCTCTAGACCAACCAAATTTTCAAAATTTTAGGGAATTGTTGTGGTCAATTTGTTTGTCCATTGGAAGTCTACAGGTTTTTTACCCATTGGAAAAATTGTTATTCTCATTAACTCGGAATCAGCAGAGCTCATTCCAAAATCCCTTACTCTGCACTTCAATGGCTTCTCTTACAATATTTCAGTCTCTGTTCAGGACCAGTCACACCATGAAAGCTCAAAAGAAGACCACGATGGATGGTCTGCAGTCCAGAGAAACAAACAGGAAAATCCTCGTGCTTCGGAGCACCTTAACAGTAATCCTCAGGATCATCTATCCCAAAGCTGCCAACCCATTGCCCCACATGCTCCTGGGTCACACACCGTGAACCATGATTCTCGCCCACCTATCCGTAGGATGCAACCCCACCTCTCTTACTCGAGATCCCTGCCTTCAACCTGATATGGGAAAGGGTCCCCTCCACAAAATCCCCCATCCTCATCATGATAAAGCACTACCACTTGTCAGCCGCCCGCACCATACGAGGTACTCACACGAGTACTTTGACATATGTTATCCCCCTGAGCATTCATTAAATGCACCAAAAAAGACCGTGACATATGTCCTCACGCCCCCTCCTTTTGTTTTGACACCTGCCCTTGTGGCAGTAACACCATTTAAAGTTGGATCATCGGGTCGGGCTCCAGCTGCTCCTCATCCCCCCGCATTGAATATCCCCAACCGTACTCCCCCAACACCTCCTCGAATTCCTCTATTTCGTCGCCTCAGCCTCTTCCACTTCCCAATCACTCACAGATGGCGATATCTCCACCGGTTCACTTCCCCATACTGTCTCAACCTCGGGCAGAACAACAATCCCAACTGCCAATGCCGCCCAAAGCCATTCTAATCTTCACTTCCCAAGAGAATACAAGTCGACCCTTCACCTTACCCATCATTCCACCGTTGACAACACCCTCCAGCATCACCTTCTTCTACCACCCTCCTCTCCTTCTTCTTCAGACCCTTTATTATCTCACAAATCCCACGACTCACGACCTTGTTCCAACGGTGATCATCACCTTGCCACCCTTCACCAAAATAACTCGGCAATGGTCCTTTTCGGTTACACTCCAATTCCACAATCCCCCCAATCTCCATACCCATTCCCTTTACCGATTTCCACCATTCCCCATTGGCAACCTTTCCTGGAAGGAGATCAAACCTCCTCTTCTACTTCAGAGATGCCTAGGCGCCAAAAGCAGAAACCGGCCTACCCGGGGTGGTTTCAAGGTCAATACTCCCCCACCGAAACCCGTGTGCTTGGGTGGCCAAGGATTCTCAGGGAGCTTCAAGGGGTATCAGGGTTGTTTGGAATCCAGGTATCCCCCAAGGTTCATCGGTTCAAATCCTTGAGTTTTCAATGTCAGTTGCCTTCAATCGCATTTCAGACAACTTCCTTTTTCATACATCCTTTGTTTACGGCCCTAACAGACCATCACTTCGACCATCTCTTTGGTTAGAACTTGCTTCATTGTCTCCCTCTCATACTATTCCCTGGATGCTGGTAGGAGATTTCAACACAGTGAGATGGCCACATGAAAAATCAAATGAAGCATTAACGCTTCAATGAGGGAGTTCTCTTTCTTTAATGAAAGCATCCTCCTCATCGATATTCCTCTTTTAGGAGCCTCTTTCACTTGGCCCAACCACACCTATCATCTCAAAGCTAGACAGATTCTTAGTTAACCAACAATGGGAATCTCAATTCCTTGGAACCAATTCCCAAGCTCTCACAAAAACTACCTCTGATCATAAGCCCATCCTGGTTGATACCCATCCATCTTCTAGTACCCATAGACCTTTCATATTTGAATCACACTGGCTCGAGGAACCAACTTTCATGCCATTGCTACCTTCAGTGTGGTCTTCCAATAATGTCACTGGTTGGGGCGGCTTTAGACTATCTCGCAAACTCCAAAACCTAAAAGCAGCACTCAAAAATTGGAGTAGGGCAGTGCCTGCAAATTTCAGGACCAGAATTAGAGACTTGGCTGCTTCAATCTTGGAAGCGGATCAGTTGGAAGAATCTAGACCCCTATCTCCTTTAGAAAGACAATCTAGGATCCAAGCTAGGGTAGATCTCTCCCAAACTATGAAACATGAGGAGACCTATTGGTTCCAGAGATCTAGGATCAAATGGCTCAAGCAGGGTGATCGTAATATTGCTTTCTTTCATAAGACAGCTAGTGCAAGACGTAGGGACAACGCTACCACTCAGATTACAGTTGGTACCCAAACTTTTTCAGAGCCTTACCATATCGATCGTCTCTTCATCAGATTCTTCACTAACCTTTTCACCCAGCACAACCATCTCCGTCCCACTCTAGGAAGTATCACTTTCAAATCAATTTTCCCAAAGATTGCTTCATCTTTAAAAGAACCTTTCACTTATGAAGAGATCAAGAAGGCTACTTTTGATTTACCGAAGGATAAATCCCCCAGTCCTGACAGCTTCCTTATAGCCATCTTCCAAAACCTTTGGAGGCTTCCTCTGATCTTATAGCTTTCTTTCACGAATTCTTTCAACAAGGTAGGCTTAATTCT